TGTGTCTGATTTACTTTAAGTTGGAAGAGTTTTTATTGGTATATTAATGGGAAAAAAAGAATGCAAATCCATGAATTTTTAAAAATTTCCTCTTTAAACCAGTAGGATAACTCAATGAGAGTCGCAGAGAAGGAGCTATGCTTCTGGGAAGTACAGAGGGAGCGGGGCTATCCCTGAGCCCAGATTCAGCAGCGACTTCTCACCGAGGCAGCACTCCCTCAGTTCCCCTCCACCTGGGCTTAATGCTTTCTACCCAGGGCACAGGTGTTTGTCAAGATTCTGTTCAGGGACTATTATATAGCAGTCATCATGGAGATTCTCCATGGATCTAGCAAGATAGCATGTTTCATGTTTGTTATTCACTAATTATTTAAAATGAGCGGATGCAAACTTGATAAAACTTTACAGTTTTCATAGTTAACACATTTTGCTTGTATGTTCCTTGCTAATGATTTCCTTTTCTGATTAAGAGAAAAATTAACATAGATGCTCATTCTATTACAAATTGAGAGATTTTTGCTGTTAAAAATGTGCTGTCGGGAATATATTTTTGATGGTGTATAATAATTATTTAATGTGTAATAATTGTGTAAAGGTTTATAAGTTATTATTAGTAAATATGCACTACATCAGCTTCTAAATTCGTTGCTGTAATTAAAAAAACTTAAAAATTTTCAAATCACTGGGTAAAATCCTGTACATATAAGTTGAACATTTCAAGCAAAGATATGTATAAATTTTAAAAAGAGTTAAAAATAGATAATTAGCTCTACAGAGAGAGTTTTCAAAATAACACAGAGGTCATATGGGATAAGAAAGAAGTTTCTGAAATTGAGGTGTCAATGTAAGCTGGACACATGCCTGGAACTTGCCTGTGCCCCAAGATTGGCTCATATATCAAATAGTAAGATGACATAAATTCACTTAATATATACCATATGGCAATGTATCTATATGTTATTCTTAAAAGAAGACAAAGAAAAGTAATTGAAAGTTAAAGATGCACAGTTTTTCATTTTGTAATATCAGAAATGATGAGAATAATCTGCTGTGTCATTTCACTTTTATATGTTAGTATACAGTTAGAACCATGATGATTAGATATTAAGAAAATGTTTGGCAAACTTTCTCCTGGATTATCAGGGTTTTTTTTTTCTTTTTTTTTTTTCATGTAGTTCCATACAGTGCAGTAATAATTTCTGTTCCCTATTATCGTAGGTGAGCAAAATCAACTCTACTCTGCCAGATTTTCTTTGTTAAACCCACAAAACTTTCCATAAAAGGTTGATTGCTACTTACAGCTTCTCCCCCCAAATAAATTCCTTAGAGGAACGACTTTCAATAAGAATGTTCCATACATAATTTGAGCAACTAATTTCATCTCTGGGTAGTAACAGAGCATTACCACTGGAGGGTCAAAGTGAGAAAATAGTAAGTAACCTGTATTTGATTATTGTCCCAAATTCATCCATTTTCTTCTTTTTTTATCTTACACATCTTAAGTCTAGTACTTGAGTAAAGAGGTAGGTCTATAAGCCTCTCTACAGGTAAAATTAGTAATGAGAGCATCCTCATTACTTTAGTAAAAGAAAGACAAGTGTCAAGTGTTGCTCTGTACTTGACACAATTATATTTATTTCTATATTAAAATTTCCACAACAGTCTTATGGCTTAAGTATTTATAATATGTCCTTTGTAAAGATAAAGTACCATGAGAAAATATTTTAAATAACTCACCTAAGGGTGCACAGCAAAACATGTTAGCAAACAGAGAAAATAATTTAAAATGTAGCATACAAATGAGGTAAGATTCCAGAAATATTTTACATTATTTCATATGGATAATTACATCATGTCTGCTTCCTTTTATAGGTGAAATGATCTACTGATTTTTACTCCAGTCGTATGTCCACTTAGTTCTAGCTAAGGTAAATCACTAACAAATCAATTATGTATATTATGTTTTAAATATTAAAATGAATAAACACAGTTTTTAAATAAAGCTGTGTGAAGTACTTTTTAATTCCACATATGTAAGCTGTTCACTTTTATTTTGGCATATATTGTATTAAAAATAGAAATGTACATTATTATTAGAATTATATGTAATACAAACTGATTTGATATATTACCTGTATGGAGTTTTTATTAGTTTTTAACTGAAGGGTATCATCATGAAAATTTTTCTTTCATTCAACTCTGAAACTATTGCACTGCTTTTTCTGACACCCATTTTGGTCAAATATCAGATAGTTTCCACAGCCACTGCTTCCTCTCAAATATTAAGAAAAAGTCTGTCTAATTTTTAATAGAAAACCTCAACTACACATCCAGGGGAAAGTCTGTGTCCTAACCTCTCTTACTCGCTTGGCTACTTCTGGTCCCCTGGAGTCTAGGTGGGCACTGGAAGATTAAAAATGAGTAGTACTGCAAACATACTGGTGTCATCATAACCTCTCAGCCAGTGTCCTCTGTGAGGACAGGGACCCAGTTCCTGACCCGCTCTCCCAGAATACATGCGGGAATGGGGTATATTGAGACTCATCTCAAAGATGTGAATGCTCCAGACACTTCCCGATGACTTGAGATCTCTATTACTGCATGACATGTGTGATAGTCTTTGGATGGATGATTTAAGCTTTCTCTTAGCTTCTGCTGTGTGTACAAAGTTTCTACAGCTGCAGTCAGTTAAACTATAGCAAAAGCATGACCCCCACCTTTTCAAAGGCTAGGAAATGTGCTCCCAGTCTTGCCCCTACACTGGCATTTCAGGTGGGTCAGCCAGCTGTCCACAGAGCTCTCTAGGTAAACAAAACAAAACAAAACACCAGAAAATTATCTAGGAATTCCCAGTGTACACCCTTGTGATTGAAATGCCAGTCTTTCCTTCTCCAAGAAATAGCAATTTTGATAACTAACTAGTTAAATATATTTATATATATATGTATGACACATATTCCTTTCCTCTGTTTATCTAATTGTTCTCTTTGCTTTTTATATATATATATGCTATCTAATAATGGTGCAAATGCTATACATGAACTTCTAATCAACTTTAGAGGATTTGAGTAGCTCTGAACACTTTACAATCTATTTATTACCATACTGTACTCCATGATTTGGAACCGAATCCTACTGCTTAGGAACTTTTCATATTTCTCACACTCCATGGCAATGTATATGTACAAAACTTTCCACCGTGATCATCACAATGCTCGTTTTGTCTGAATAGCGTACCATCATCAGCTCCCCTCAAGGTATGTTATCACTGACCACAAATAAGCGAGAATCCTAATTTCATAAAATTTCTAAATAAATTTTAAAAATAACTTCTTGTACCAATAACTACCCTGTGGTCATTGTAGATTAACTGTAATATTACATATTAGTAGTCAAAGAAATTAATGTAACTTCTATATATGACTAAATTGGTATAATTACATTCAGTCAAAAAATATTTATTGCTAGCTTTCATTTTCTAGAAAACACTGTAGACACTACTAAAGGAATCAGACTGGCAATTCTTTATCCACACATAGATTACATTGTAATAAGTAAGAAATGTAACAAATAATATATATGATACAGTATGATATAATATGGTATGATATGGTATGATATGATACATGGTATTACTAGGTGCCTATGTGATTTGATTTTGAAAAGATAAATAGGACCACAGACGGTAAACAGTCAGGTGTGTCTTTCTAAGAAAGTCCCAACTGAATGAAGTGCGAGAATGAAAAATATAAATGTTTAGAAGAGTGTTTCAGATATAAAATATGAAATCTCAGGAGTAAGTTAACGGAGGTGGAAAGAGAACAGGGGGAAGACTTCAGAAATAAGTAGGATAGGAAACACATGGTGTGTGAATCACGTTAGAAATTGATTTATATTTCAAATGTGCTGCAAAGCCATTGCGATCATGTAGCACTTGTAAAAAAGGGACCATATTCTAGTCAAATCATATCAGCAGTTATACAATGCACTATTTATTGCGTCTTTACAGTTTGTCAGTTATTTCATATGATATTAATTTATCTATTTTATTGTATATTCCCCTTTGCAATCATATGAAAAATGCGGATTGGTCCTCATTTTATACATTACCCACTGAAATCCAAAAAGATTAGGTAGTTGTGACCAAGTTCACACAGATATTCAAATAAAAAGGAACTAATTAAGTTCATATCACTGGCTCAAGTATAAGCACTTATTATTATTGCTAATATTTTTGACTCCTACTTAACACTTTAAATATTTTATTTGACCATTTGTAATTTAATGGTTTACTACACTAAATCATCCCTCACTTGTGAGTCAGGTGAGGGTGATATTTAAGTATCATTGGTAATATTGTGAGGTTGTGCCATCTTCATGAATATCTGCATTCATTCAGATTAATTCAATTTACAAACATAAAGTAATACATTTAGCTTAGGAAATGGCTATGTTTTTATAACATCCTTATAATTAGCAAAAGAGATCAAAGTATTGAAATATTGCCAAGCATAGTTATCCAGGAAGTTACAAGCTCTCTACTAGACTTGGAAAATGTGTTTTGGTATGACTAGACTCTTTTCCAGTGTACTGAATGATTGACAATCCTATCGCTGACTAAATAAGCATATATTTTAAAACAGCTATTACGGGCCACTGGTCATAAACATTAAACTCTAGTTACAGATACTATACTGTTTTACCAGTTGTTTGTCATATGTTCAAGGTTTCATTCATGACAAAACATGCTGTGATACCCAAAACTCTATTTCTTTTTTCAACTCTGTTTTACATGGACCGATTCACTTGGTGTTTGTTGTACTTTCATATTATTCAGTTGTTGAGTGAGAATCACATATTATTCTTTTTTAAGCACAATGAGAAACCATTCATAGAGTAATTCATGATAATTTCTCCAACTCTGCTCTAGATTTTTAAATCAATATGATAAAAATGTTTTTCCTTAGTCCCAAATCTTTTCTATTTTATTAATGTTTTTGCTTAAGACATTTTGTTCATTATTTTTACTTTTTCCTAAGTGCACAGTGATGTTAACGCATAAGAATTTACTACAGTTTATATCTTCTTATTTGTTTATAATGTCTTCCCAAATTGTTGTACTTCAAATCTGATTTCCTCAAATTTCATAAAATAAAAAGATCTGCTTTGCCAACATAATCATTCCTATTGATAAAAAATTTACTATATGATGTGCATGTTTATATGTAAAAGTACAGAAAAATTATTATAACTGTTGAACTGCTGAGATACAACTCAACATTACTTGAAATACAGTACTTTATTTAAATACATGTATGGTCGGATTGATTCAACTTAGTCTCACATGCCATTAATAAACATGATCATCTAAACCAGTTTGAAGAACATTGTTTTCATTGCTATATTGTCTGTTTAATGTTTATTTTGAAGTCGATCTTGATTTGGACATGGAAGTATTCTTAAAATGTCAATTAAGATTAAGGCATTTTATTATCTTATATTCTAGTGTTGCCCTAAAGTTTATGTCCATTTTCTAAGCATTTACTTTCTTCAACGAACTGCAGTAGAACTAACTACTGTACCTAATCTCATACTTGGTACTAAAAACCAAATAGCACTGATGCATCAGGAGTTTTAGCCTACATTCTTAATGTAAAAGGAAATGCTAAGAATTGTAATTAAGTTTTACTGTGTGAATATTGAGTCGCTGAAGTTGATAATTATACTAATTCAAGTTTGAATCCAATAGTACTTTCACTGTCTATATAATTTTAGAAGAAATAAAAATCTACTTAAAATTTTCACACTTTTCACCAAATTTATAAAGTTTCATTTAATGATGAGTAAATGCTGACATGCAACTAGCCATTGTATTTTGACATGAAAAGGTGTCTTTGGGGTTGTATAAGAATATAATCTATGAAAAACTTCTAAGCATATGTTCTCTCTTTCTATAAAGCTGTAATATCAAACAAAATACAGATTTCTTGTATGTAATTCTGGTTACTTCATATATACCAAATATCTACACAAATTTGAAATAAGTTTAAAACAGTGATCTTGGCAAAGATTTAAAAATATCAAACAAATTTGATTCACAGAATCCTATTCAGCAACCTGCTTATCCATGTTAAGTAAATGTTTTTACACTGTTACATAAGCACCCGGATTCTTCTAGGTGCTAATGCTTATCTCTGTATCGCATCAGCTACTTATCCCACATAAACACTTTATTCTTATGTTGTAAGAATAAAAATGTGGACAAAGTAAAAAATATTAAGATAGTCTAATTTAGAGCCTTTCTAACATCAGCCTTTCAAAAGTATAAAGCATGGATGATATTGAAAAATTCTCGAGGAATTTTTCAGTCATACTTGCACGGTTTGCACTGGCATCTAAGACCTCATTATTAACATATCTTCCAACTGTTTGTTCAAAGACAAAATGTGGGTACCTTGAAATAATCTCGGGGTATTTGTTCCAAGGATATTAGAAAACTGTAAAGCAGAGCTCTCACCCTCAGCCAAGGCACACAACTCTGTCAAACACAAGACTCTCATTAGCTCCAGCACATGTTAACACTTTTTTTAATCTTGGTGCTCTGAAGGCTTATTTGTTTGACTGCACTGCAGAACCAAACATGTATGCTAATCTTTTAAAGCGAGGTCCCAGGTCACTGAGATAATCAAAATTTTCGTCCTGTTCAATGACTACTGATCCTAAGGAGCTCAGGGAACCAGCTATTGACCCTGTTCCCTCAAAAGCGTAGGTCTGAAGGGAATCAAAGGGAGGGGCACATGGGTCGGTGTTCGCTTCCTCGAGCTTTTCAAGAATGAATTTCCTGAATACAGCACTATCTGGGCCAATCTGCAGAGACTGCCTGTACAGACTGCGGATCTCCGCTCTGGTGGTCTTCCGAGCCTTCCGCTCCCGCATTACGGTGCTGTTTCTCAGCTCTACGATATCAAAGGCCTCTGTGTCTTCTTCTCCACCTCCCTCATCATCATATCTGAATATATTCGCTCGGAAATCTTCACTTTTCTCAGGAAATAGCGTCTGTTTTCTTCGTTGTTTAAGAGCCAAAATAAAAAATATAAATCCTAATGAAGAAAATATACCAGAATATGAATTAAAATGGAAAAAAATACCATACTTTAAAATAGTTTTTGTACATCAAGACATAGCTTAATTTGCTGATTACAGGGCAAAAATATGCATTTGTTAGTGGATGTTTTAGGAGAAGAATGTGCAAAAATGACCTCAGGAAATATAGTCATGTTTTTGGCTGATAATTTATACAGAAAGACACTATAAGAACAGTGAATTGCTCTTGATGATGCTTAACTTACAGTTCAGAATGTAATTGTTTTCTCAATTATGCAATTAGAACAAAATACAGTAATGGGACATTTTCTAATCTGAAGGTACAGGCAATTAAAAGACCATTGATCCACATCATTGGAAGTTCAGAAAGGTACAAGTTTGACATTTTTCACTGAGGCAAAATCTGTAACATACTAAGTTTGTGTTTACTGAATGCAGGGTATAAGCCAAGCATTGTTCTAAAAGTGCTGCATTTATTTTTTGTCTAAACTATTTTTTGAAATTCATTTTATGATATCTATTAAAAATGAGAAAAGTGAAGAATAGAATGTTTTACATCCTGTTACAAAAATTTGAGGATAACTTTTAATTTAAAAAGTGTATCTTGTATGTACCCACACATCTATATGTATTTGTCTGTGTTTTTCTTTGTGTGTTTACACTGAGAATAACCAACCTTCATTTGACCTTGGATTTGAAATAAAAATGAAGTAATGTTTTAAAAATAAAATGAAGAGCTATATATTAGGTAATATTTCATATAACCAACAAGAGGAGAGAAAACTTGAGTAAATAAATTAGAAGTAAAGGGAGGACATTACAACTGACAAGACAAACAGTCACAATACAATACTGTGAACAGTTATATGGAAACAAACTGGACAACCAGGAAAACTTGAATAAATTGCTAAAGCATACAACCTCATAACAATGTATCAAAGATAAATTGAAATTTTTAGCAGGCTAATAACCAATAAGGGGAATAAGTCAAGAATAAAAATCTCCTATTGAAGAATAGCCAAATACCTCATGGCTTCACAGCTGAATTCTACCAATTAAAGAAGGCAATTAATATCAATGTTTCTCAAATCTTCAAAAAATTTAAGAAGAAATAATTCTAGATTTGCTTCCAAGGACAGCATCAACCTGTTAACAAAAACAGGAAAATACCCTCAAAAAAAAAAAAAAAAAAAAAAAAAAAATGGACTCAACCTGACAGATGAATATAGCTAAAACATTCTTCCACAAGAGGTAGCAAAGACAGAGCACAGACAGGCAAAGACGGGATGCTAGTCAGTGGGCACAAGATTAGAGAGAAAGAATAAGTGTTGGTATTCTATTGAACAGCAAAGAATGATAACTAGTATTAATGCATATTTTAAAGTAAGCACATCAGTTACAAGCATCTTTAATCTAAAATAATGATAAATGATAATGATAAATAATGATAATGATAAAATAAATGATATATTAATTACTGCAAATTGATTAGTGTATGTACATGTCCTGTATGGATATGTGTACTGTACTAGAGTAATACACTGTCTCTCCAAAATATCTACATTAATTTGTCAATTAAAAAATAAAATAAAATTTAAACATAAATAACATTTTTAAATGCCTTACATTTAAAAACTTAAAATGTTGCTCTTAAAATAACTAATGCCTTCATGTTTAAATTCAGGCACTGTAGTTTTAAACTCATCAGAAATATTTGGTTGAAAAAATGAGGTGTAATAAATAACTTTCCAATTTGAATTGGGGGGAATTTTCACAAAATTTTTGAAGTACATTACTACTGAATGATCTATACTTCTGCCCAGCAAATACATTTGTCTCATTTTTAACCATGAAAATGGGGTTTATTCATAGAATTTTGGAATGAGTTGAAGTCTGTCCCTGTAGTTAGCTATGAACTTGCTATCTCCCTAACATTATGCTTTCAGCTTTATTACTGCTTTAGGCTTCTGGAATCTAGAGATGTCACTCTGAATTCAGGTGTTCAGCTTTGAACAACTGAAGCAGGGCACCAAAAATGGTAATTTTTGATACTGAAATATGGTTGATTCTGGCGGGAGTCCTTTGACTGTGCGTGAAGGAACCGCAAGTTTGAGAGATGCACTCATGATTCCAGAAGCCATGGGTGACAGAGCTGCCCTCAATATTCTATCATCTTGGCTTTTGGTGTAGACTTATAAGGAAACAAAAGCAGTGTTTAGACTCTGCCCTGTCATTTGCAGAAAAGGAAAAGGAAACGCTAGATGATTAGTTTGTGGTTTTTAAAGCAGACATGTTGCCCACCCTGCGCTGAGTGAGTGAGTGCTCCAAGAGCTGCTGGTCCCACGGTTTGAATCCTTGCTTTACTCACACCGCCACAGTTCCCAGCTGAAACTTGCAGAGAGAGAGCCAGGTATTTCCCATCTACTTCCTGGAAGCAAAGCAGGTGACCCAGAACCCCGCTGCCATTACAGACTGAGTCTCTGCCCTCCGGGTACCTGCAGCACACAGGAGGTCCTCACACAGAAGCCCCAAGGACTGCTCTGGCTGGGGAGGAGGATGCTGTGGCCCATCCTGCACACAACCTGCATCGAATGAGAGAGTGCTCGAAGAGCTGCTGGTCCAGTGGTTGAGTTCATACTTTACTAACACTGTCACGGTTCCCAGCTGAAACTTGCAGAGAGAGCCAGGTATTTCCCATCTAATTCCTGAGGACAGAGTGGGCAACCAAGGACCCCGCCACATTACAGAATGAGTCTCTGCCCTCTGGGCAAACTGCAGCAGACAGGAGGTCCTCACTCACAAGCCCCAGGGACTTCTCTGGCTTGTGGGGGGGCACGTGTGGCCCCTCCCTGCATGCACCCTTCTCAGAGTGAGTGAGTGCTCCAAGAACAGCTGGTTCCACGGTTCGAGTCTGTGTTTTACTTTTGCCTGGACCCCTAGGAGGTTACAGGAATGAGCAATCTGTGATTGCTGCCCGTTCGTCCTACATCTGGTTCCTGTATGTGTCCTGACTGGAGACACAGAATCAGGTGGTTCACAAACCGTCAACCCTGTAGTTTGTGTCTGAATTTTGCCTGTACCCTGAACTGCCTGGGGACATAAGTCCACTGGACTGGGATTATCACACCAGTGCAACCCGAGTCTGGGCCATGCACATGCCCTGAACAGCAAGGGGATGCTGGATCAGATGGTCGGCCATCAGCTAACACCAGTCCCCATGTCTGAGAAAGGGGATAGCTAGATACAAATCAAAAACTGCCAGAAAACCCAAGACTAAGAAGCGCTTCTCAGAGGTCACTCAGGGGCAAACCTGACCAGCAGAAAAACTAGGGACACGAGTGGTCTTGACTGTGCAGCTACTGAAGAAGGAAACTGAGCTTTCTGCATCTGGTAACAAGCATGACAAAATGAAGGACTAAAACACAATCCCAGAACTACTTCCCACTCAGAACAAGTCCAGGAGACATCAACATAGGAGAACTTGGTAAACACATGCCTGAAATAGCTGGAATGATTGCAGT